GTTTCTATCGGGTTTATTTTTTCGTTCTCCGTTTCGTTAGCCTTCTAAAAAAAACGCGTCTTATTTTCTTATGGCTTTATTTTTGGATTATTGGTTTTTTTTCTATGCAGTCCGCCATTTTTAAAATTTATTTCTGCGCCAAACAGACATTCCATTCGTATTGATTTGTCATTGATAAGTTAATATAATTATTTAGCTTTCATTTTTAAAAAAAGAGGCATTAAATTTAGATATTCAGATATGTTTCAATATTTATTTTCAACACTTATTCAATGTTGAATGTAATTTGTTTTAGTGGTTGTTGTTGTTGTTTGAATTTTCTCATTTGATTGTTAAGAGACTGTATTTGATCAGTCTCATTTAGCATCCTGTGCATCTTGTATTCGATTGTCAGTAGGATACAAGTATAATCGAAGCAGAGATTGGATAATGGTTCGCAGTGGAATCTATAGGATGTAAGTTTCTTGCTATTTAGGACTGGTCAGTTGGATGTATTTGAATCTCACAGAGTTGATATTCACTTCAACACACGAACCCACTATATATCTTTACTTAGTATGTTTGTAACCTAATGGCTACATCGAGGTATTACGGGTTTGTTAAGATCGCTAAGTTACACATTTTAAATCATGAATCAATCAGTGTTAGACCACCATTAGAAATCTGGAAGCAATGAACGGCCGTTTCATCCTAGCATGGGTCTCATCGGCAGTGCACATCCACTACTCCTGCACCTCACAGGATTCAAACCCAGGATCTTCGATCTAGCACAAGAACGCCTAACCTCCGTACCACTGAACCGGTATCTAATGGTGTTAATGTCTAACTTCGATCAATCCAAGGGCTTGCGCAACCGTCCAGTGCTTCCAGGTTTCGAATGGTGATCTAACATTGATCGATTCATAATTTCAAATGTGTAACATAAGTATAAATGGTTTATCGATTACTACTCTAGTTAGTTCAGTCATAGAGAAAATAATTAATGGCGTAGATATCTAAGGCAGTTCTAAAAATTTCTTTCTGATTACAAAAATTTGGCAGATTGTATCATAATTTTCCTATTGATACCTCTACACCTCTAGTCTTCATTTCTTTTACAAAAATGTTTACATTGGAATAAATTATCATAAACATGAATCGAATTAAAAATTCCAACAGTAATTATTAGAATATCCTTAAACAAAACTTAAAATTCAATATTCAATGATGACTAAGCACAAATTGAACATTTTTCAAAGTTCAATTGAGCAGTTGTAATTTTTTCTTCAGCGATGAAAATAAGGTCATGTAAAATCATTGCCAACATGATTGACAGTCCATTGACGTTGGAATCATTCAAAAAAAAACCCAACTTGTTGTCTAGACATCACCATCTTTAGTTTAAATCAAATATTTCTAAAAATAAACATGTGGGATCCTTTAAATGTTTCTGGTTAATCAGAGTCTGTGATTAGAACTTTTCTGCACTTAATGTAATAGAATTATAAATTTTAAGAAAAGTATTACATAAATCATCCATTGTTAGGATATTCACTCAAAATCCTAAGATAATTATTTGCAAGCCTAATTCTATTGGTCCATTCCTATTGGTCATCCTAACTATCAATGTCATAGACTTTATATGTTGTTTCCTATTCGACCTAAATGTATAGATACGCATTATCTGTAACGTTTTATGACCCGCACCCGGACCTGGATCCTTATCCTCTTCTGGACTCGGACCTCGTACTTTCTGGATGCTTGTAGAATACAAGTTCTACTCCACATCAAGTCTTCTTCTTTTACTCAATGGGGGTTGATAAACTCGGATTAGAGTAGTCTGTCGTGTCGCCGGATCCTCGATTCTCGCTCTCGTTTTCCGACTAAGCTAAACTCGTAATAATAATTCAAGCGTATCAAATTGACATGTTGACGTGCATGCGTAACAATCCATATTGACTGACCATTGTTGTTGTATTTTCATGCTGTCTACTCAACAAATAATCTGTATTAGTATCCCAATCCTACGGAAGGTTAATTCTAGACTGGACTAATTCGGTTAAACCGAACGATCCAGTCCCAACCTTACACAGAAACAGTACTAATTCCCTTACGATTGTACGTACGTACAGCTTGCTAATTCGCGTTAACTAGTATGAAGCCTATCCATTTAGAATTTATTTTCAATTAGTTCCAATTATCCAATTATCATAATGGACTTATTTATAAACTTGACAAGAAAACAAAAAACAACCCAGAGGAAACTTACTTTCAATCCCATTTCTAATGCTTTCAAACGTAGATTATGCTCCAAATCATTAGCATTTAAACCTTGTAAAACAATTGGTGACATACCAATTGGACGATTCAATGGGAATTGTGCTAATGTAAGAAAACCATCCAAATGTGTTGAATGATGTTGGACTAATTCAACTGGACCAATAAATTTATGACCTATAGGAGAGAGAGAGAATATTAGATTAGTCAAAAAATACTTGTTTAAAAAAGAAATAGAAATAGATTTGTGTTTTTACACATTTGAAACCATTAATCAATCATTGTTAGACCACCTAATTAGGAACCTGGAAGCTGTTACGCGCTGTTACGGGTATGAGGGCGGTTGTCACTTCCCGGCTGCCCACACCGTGGGAGGTTGTTTCTTGAGGGACCTGAAAAGGAAGATGGATTAGTGTTGGTGCGTGACCGCAGAGCCCAAGGGACAACTGCTTGAGGCCGGTCACGCACGGCCTTTTTATGAAAGGTATTTAGAGGATTAGCTCCGTTCTTAAAGGCCCTTAGTGGGCACCCTTACCCAGGGAGACGGAAATCCGTGAGCTAGGGGAGGTGTGACATTTTTAGGGCCGACCTTTTCTAACCCTTCCTTCCTTGTGAGAAGGCAGCATCACTGCAGATGCTGGTTGTCCGAGGGAAACACCTTACTGCTGTCACACCCCTCTGCAGTCAGAAGTACGACTTCGCCCTCAGACCTTCGGTAGCTGCTTTTAGTCTGATCGTTCTCCAATCGACCTGCCTGGCATGGTAGGACCTGCAGGAACATATGTTCCAGTCAGTATAGCTGGGTTGGGTCATCACGATAGGCAACCCCGACCACCACGTCAAGGTAGCAGCTTCGGTCGGGGGAACCTGGAAGCACTGAAAGACGGCCCCCCTTCGTCCTGGTATGGGACTACTCATCAGCAGTGGCAGTGCGCATCCACGACTCCTGCACCTCGCAGGATTCGAACCCGTGACCTTCGTCATTGTGCGCGAATGCCTAACCATCGGATCACTGGGCCGGCATTCAACGGTGTTAATGTCTAACTCTGATTGATCTAGGGATTTTGCGCGACCTCACCCATTTGTCTTCGGTAGTTACTGCCTACACCCGACAGGGTTGAACTCCATTGGTCACGTCTTCTCAACGAGAACTCTGAGAATTCCCTCACAAAGCTAGTAGTCACTAGTGAGCACTGTTACGATATTTTCGGGCAGAGTTTTGGAGGTTTGTGTGTTTTTACACGGCCCAGTGGTCCGATGGTTAGGCGTTCACGCACAATACCGAAGATCCCGGGTTCGAATCCTGCGACGTGCAGGAGTCGTGGATGCGCACTGTCACTGATGAGTAGACGCATACCAGGATGAAACGGTCTTCCCGTGCTTCCAAGTTTCTAATGGTAATGGTCTAACAATGATTGATTGATGATTTCAAATGTGTAAAAACACAAACCTCCATAACTCCACCCAAAAATAGATTTATTTATTGAACAATGAATACAAGAGAATATTAGATATTATTTTCGAACGAGAAAGTATAAAAGTTGATGCAACAGTCAACTAATTATCGAATGACATGGTTTTCATCTGGTCTGAGTAGCATACTCTCAATCTAAGAACAACACCATCAATCTTAATATTAGTGTATGTAATGTTGAGTCATTTAGATTAGTTAGTAATGGCCATATTATACAACTTGATTGATAGAATTAAATCTATCGTTGATCAGTCCATCTTACATGCATCTCAGACATATGAAACAGGTCAGTTGTAGTCCGAATAGCTCTGTACTAACGTCTGTGATTGTAAAGCTACATGATTCGGGATTGAATCGATCAAGGAGCATTAGTTCTATAAGAGCATGAGACTTAGATCATGCAGGCTTTCCTGAAGAATACCTCAAATCTTCACTTTATGTAATAACACTGTCTGAAGAATGCAGTGATTCAATAAAACTAAAATACAAAGACATTATTGCAACTGTAGTTGAATCGCAAAATTGATTTTAGTATAGAAGCTAAAAACTACTTTTATGAATATTAAATTACAGATCTGAGGTCTTTTAAGGCGAATTTGAAAATAAGTTATAATTTTTGAATTTAACTAAATTAAATAAGAATGAAACACAAATTGTTGAAATCACGAAATGATTTTGACTAGTTCACTACCAAAAGGCTAGGAGGATTGGACACCCATTTCGTCCTAATATGGGACTTCTCAGCAGTGTGTCTTAATGACTCCGCACGCGGGAATCGAACGCTTAAACTCTAAACTACTAAGACAATATCCATTAATGGTATTGCCTAATACCAATCAATCAATAATCTTGTGCAACCTTCATCCATTGCCTGCAGTAATAACACCTCTACAAATTTTCTTCAATAATAACAAACATATACACACTAATAACTAACTTCAAGATGAATTCCTAGAGTTCTGTCGAGAAGCCATGACCAGTGCAGTTCAATCTATGTCAGGTAGAAGACAGTTATTCACTGCACACAATAAATGAGGGTTGCGCAACATCATGAATTGATCGAAGTTAAAATATTAACACAACCGGATGCCATCTAAAATGATTCAGAGGTTGGGAGTTCACTCACGAATTCAATCATCGGGAGCAGGGGTCGTGAAGTTCCATATTGGGGTTTTAATCAGTGATTTGGCTAGTTTATGATTTCAACTATGATGATAAAAACAACCTTCAGAAATTCATTTAATGAAAATAAAAATTGATCGATTTTTTCCAATTTACCGAATTCAACCTTATGAACTGATTACCCAAATCATATTCTACGCATTTCTTTACTTTAATGAAATATTTCTTAATAATTGTAGTGAAAATCGTAACGAAAATTACAGAGTTACTCAGTAAAATAGGAAAACCATATCGTAAATCGTTAATTTGCAAAATATCAGTCCATCATATCGAACTGGACTGTTCCTGTTGCAAAACATCAATCCATTGTCACTATTCATGCGTTTCATACACATTCCATTGTGTTCTAACTCTTCCTTTCTTGATCTTCCCCCATCTTCTGCTGCCAGACATTACATTGACACTCACGTCATATACTACTTATAAGTAGCTCGCACCACATAATTACTGACATGTAACAACACACTAATATTACTATTGCGGAAAATTTGCCGACAAATTAAGAAGCCATTCGAAACAAATCACTATAGACTACTTATATTACTATTATTGTCCATAGTAGTATCAAATTGATTTTTCATCAGTAAAATAGCCACATTGAATAGTTAGTTACATGACATGAAAGTATTTTTTCTAAACTTAAATACCAACTATGTAAATTGACTTGAAGGTATAAAAAAAATAGAAGGATTTATTTGTTTACTTCGTTCGATTACATAAAATTTTAGTCTAAACATATTCTCTATTTTTAAAAAAGAATATTTTACATGAAAGCAAAGCCATTTGTAATTCAATATTCAATGTTTTCTCTCAATAAGAAATAGACAGAAATCCACTAGTGTTGTTAATTCAGTAAAAATGTTCTGTCAAATTTACCAACGATTTAAAAATGAGTTAACTAGGTCAAATTTGAAACACAGCATATACTAACTAATAATCCAGAGTAAATTCGATTTTAAATAAAAATGATTCATTCTAGATCTTAAAAAAAATTAGAAAGAAGTCTTAACACTTTTCAATGTTCAATGGTTGGTAGAAACTGGTTAAACCCAACAGACTAAAATTTCATATTAGTTTAGTATGTGTTATCAAATTAAATCAAGACATAACTGCAAAGGTAATCCGAGGCCAGAATTGGCTGGAGAATACTGGTCGGTTGGAGGTAACAGGAGTAAATGAGTAAGTAAGTAAGTATATCAGAAGTTCTGTGGTGCGCGCTACTTATAAGTAGTATATGACGCGAGTGAAAAAACGTAATGTCTGGCAGCAGAAGATGGGGGAAGATCAAGAAAGGAAGAGTGGGAACACAATGGATTTTGTATGAAACGCATGAATAGTGAAATATCAGACAATGGATTGAAGATTTGCGAATTAACCGTTTACGATATGGTTTTCCTATTTTACTTAGTAACTCTGTAATTTCGTTAAATACAATTCGGTTGCCCTCACCTTGTGTTCTCCTTCACTACAGTTCTTAAGGAAAATAGTACTAGCCAATTTAGCTAACTGGTAATAGTACTGTCACACGGAGTGTTGTATCTCCGATTCACATGGAACAAACTGAGTTTCCTCAATGTCTATTGGTGCAAACTCGAATGCCACTTTCTCTCTTCTATTGATCTCCTCTAAAATATCTAATAACAAAATCTAATTCCTATTTCGATCGATAATAATATGTTCAGTACAAAAGACTAGTTAAACAGAACAATCATTCCTCTTCGGTAATTTTAAAAAAAATTACACGACATATGTACCAACATTATACTGTGTTTTCTTGTTTCAAAAAAAAATATTCAAAAGTTATGCCAAAAGTTCATGGTCAAAAAAAAAAACAACCCACTAGTTAAAACAAAAATAACAATTGAATATTGTTGAACAGTTAAAAAAAAAACAAGTACCATCATTCTGTAGCCCTTTTCAAAGAAAATAATATCGCGAAACTAAATGAAATTATATTCATATACTATATAATCTATATTTCGCAAAATTAATGAAAAATAAACCAGTGGGGAAATTTTTTCAGCAGTTAGACATTATAAAAATAAAAATTAGATTTTTTATTGAAAAAAAAGAGAAAACCTTTTTTCCAACAAAATTTATCCGCCTTCATGGGATGATGAAACATTGTAAGTATTTCTTTTTTGTTGAGGTCGTTCATCCCTAAACTGATGGAAAGATAAACGAAACATGCTACAAATTTCCCTGTATATCAAGGGAAAAAAACCAACAAACATGTTTTTTTCGAAAAAAGTAAATATAATGTAGTACAAGGTCAAACTATCATTATTATTATTATTATTATTATTATTATTATTACGGTTATCAGTAATGGTAATTCCATGTTAAATAAATTTTCTAAAATAGAAAAATCGCCAAAAATACATTTCGTGATTATTCCCATTGACCAGTCGTGGATGTGCACTGCTGATGAGTCCCATGCCAGGACGAAACGGCCCTCCAGTGCTTCCAGGTTTCTAATGGTGGTCTAACATTGATCGATTCATGGTTTCAAAAATGTGTA